AATTGTGAAAGAGGAGCATATCTGTATACTTGCAGGTCTGAGAAAGTAACCCAGGGAAGCGGTAAAACCACATTTGAGGAGCCAGGAGAAGGGAATGTCACTGCCCAGCTGCCCTACCAGAGACGGTGCAGTAATGCCTAACACCCCACCTGGCTGCAGCAGCAGTTTTAAGGTAAAAAGGGACAAATACTTCAAGTATTTCCATAAAGGGGCATATACTTCAACTTCTATTGAAATCTCACCAACTACCAAGTGCATTTGTTTTTCTTTGGTTGACATCACATTCTGCTCTGAACTGATGGAGCTCAAGGAGAGTTTGGACAATGCTCAGGCACATGGTGGGATTGTTGGGCTGTCCTGTGCAGGGCCAGGAGGCGGACTCGATGATCCTTGTGTGTCCCTTCTAACTCAGAATATTCTATGATTCTATGATGAACATTTTCCCATGTCCAACAATACACTGTCCTGGACAATTGCTTTGTGTCAGCTACCAGGGCCATCCTCAGGCAGCTCAGGTATCCTTTTACAGGTGACAATGTCTGTGTAGAGGGCTGTAGCTCCCTGCAGAAGGGAGACATCCCCAGTGTATAGCTGGGTCCCCAGAAGTCCTGCAATGCCAGCTCACCTTCTTCCTCAGCTGAGAATGTGAATTGCCAAGCAACCTTTGTGCTAGCACAGCCAAACAACCAATTATACACTGCAGGTACAGCACACATGCTGTACTGGAATTGTTCACAATCCACATGCAACTCAAAGCCACCATTTAACTACTCTTGTCATAACCTCAGCCTTTCAGAAACCGTGCATAGCCACCGAAACAATTGTTTTCTCGTGGTTCCAGGTGCCAAGGAAATCAGTGCACTCCACAAGCTTTATGCCTTCTAGCAGTTCTATTTCACTTTAGACAATTGGATCAGCATTGTACAGCTGCTATTGCTGCAGTTTTTCATCATTTGCCTGAGTTTACACAAGGGAAAAAAAAGAGAGGGCAATTCATCTCTTAGCCAAAAGGAAAAAGTTGGCATTTCTCTCCCGTTGAAGAAACACAAGTGTGACAAAAAGTCTGTGTGACATTGAATAGAGATGCAATTCACTGTGGAAATCAGTAAGCAAGCATTTTCCTTGGAACAATTGCATTTACTGTAAATATTTGCCTACATTATGATCAATTATTATACAAACAAAAAAGGCAGCTCTGTATCATAAAATGTAACCAATAAGATAGAAAAATATTATTCAAGGATATCTGAGTCAGAAAGCTATGGGATCCTGATTTATTGATGATACCAAACCAGTCAGACTCATCCCTAATATTACAATTTCAATAGACACCTGATTCAGTTACACAACTAACTTGTAGAACTTATTACATTTGCTTGTCTTTACTGACATAACCTCTTTCTGTTCACATGGCATTTCACACTGTGAAAAGCTCAATGTTGACGGATTGAAGACAATTCGGAATATTCCTTCCTTGCTCCTCTGTTGTATATTATAAAAATAATAGTGTAGTCCCGTACTACACTCTGTTCTGTCAACATTAATTTTGAGCTGAGATGTGCATATAGCTCATTTTGATCTCAGCCATTCCATCCTTTCTGCAATGGTAGAGTTGTTGTCAAAGTTCCAGAATGAAAATGTGGATTATTTCTGGGGACAACAAATTTCACTCTTTTGAGACCCAAACCAAGGAAAATGACAGAGGAGAACTGTTTTAGTGTAAATAAACTGTACCTGTTGGTCTGTTTAGTATGCAACAGTGCAGTGTACACTTCTTAAGACTGCAAACCCTGAGAACGTTCTAAAAAAGCCTGGAGAAAGCAGAGGGGGGGAAAACATTACTCGTTTTCTTAACCACTTCCACTTACAATTCAAGACCAACTGCTGGTAGTTCATGGAATAGACAGGAAAGGTTCTTTTCCAGGATCTGAAATGGTAATGACTCTGTAAGTAAGAAAACTGCTCTGTTTTAATATTTAATTATCAAAGTTCTGTGCTCTGGTAATATGGGTGAAGGAAGAGGCAGAAAACTATCATCTCCCTTGAAAAAAACTGAGTAAGAAGTAATGGTAAAAAGATTATTAAGATTCCTGTGGTGCTTTAAAGTGAATGTTAGACATTTACCCTTGATATATTCACAACTTTCTATCTCTTTTCCATATTCTTCCATTTTCTTCTAACATTAAATGAGACATTTGGACCCAAAGTGTTGTGTAATATTATTGTATGTTATTAAAGAAGAGAGAAGTGATTTCACAAAAGCAGGGAAGTAATTCTTATGTATTACTTACCTTCATCAGAAGAGGGTGACAAGGCTATAGTAGTAAATTGTCTTAATATCCTGAATGAGAGATATTACAGGAAAACACAGAAGTGTATGTTTGTTACCATGCCCTGGTCAAAATCATTGATCCTAGAAGTTTATTTTAACCCTTTTGTTTGATTTAGGGTCATTACAGTCTCCTGTGTCGTGAGCTGCAATATTTGAAACCTCATTAAGCCTATGACTTTCACTTAACCTGTTAGCTCACTGTTTCCTTCTCTGTGGTAGGCCTGGAAGCAAAGGATTTACACACTGGAGGTCACTGTATTATTATTGCAATATTCAGCCAGCAACACACAACCCCAACATCCCTTGCATGAAGAAAAAATGCAGAGAGCCAAGATCAGGACAGAGACATTGACTGCATGTGAGCATGAGTATGTCTTTCTTGATGCTGTTGTAGGCAGTCCTACCAGTGACCTGTGATTCACAACATTCAAGGAAAACAGCCTAGAATTTGATAAGGCGGTAGAACCACACACCTGGAAGAAGACCTGACCTTAGGCAGAATATGCATTTTTAAGGTTTTTTTAGAAACACTGTGCAATGTTTGGTGACAATGCATATACTGTCTTTATTAAATATTGAGTGTTTCCATTCTCCTCACATTTCAAATGCTTACTCTCTTTCATTATGTTTTTATCTTGTTTACTATATAAAACAACAAATAAACAGTAATGTAAGTGTTCTTGAAATTTATCCAAATACCATTTAAGAGCCGTGATTTCTTAAAAGGATTATATTACTTCCAAAATTAGAGACAATGAAACATAGCTCTGTCAGTCCATAAGGTTTGCATGACTCAAGAAGAGTGTGAATAGTCCTGTGCCCCAGGCCTTTCACAAGCTTTAGATCGACTCTGCCAGGGACAACAGCACACAGCAACAGAAATTGCTCTAGTGAGAATGAAAGCATCCTGCCCCACAGAGTGGCCTGTATGCAAGTCCTGACCATGGTAATCAACTACCCTTCAAAAAAGCCTGAAATCTTGAAGTGCCTTTGTGCATTATGACAAAATCCATTGGCTGCTGCCATCCATTTGTGTTTGAGAGACAAGGTTGTATAATAACGATCTGAATGGGAGCAATGCATTATCTGAGCCATTATGTGCAGTAAAAAAGGTGTACAGGAGCAGCCTGTGACCCTATGCTCACACATTTCACTTATGGAGATCACTCGTGGGTGATTGCTTAATGGCAAACCTTAATGCTAAAGGAAAGCAGACAGAATTCCTTTGTAATGATCTCTGGCAATCTAAGCTATGACTAATCTATGACTGTGTACTGACCCCTCTGGAACCTCTTCCCAGAGCATCAGGTATGCAGGGAGTAACTGCTGAGCCAGGCATGTCTGTGTCCCAGAAGTACCTTTGGTATAATAGGTACCATAAGCCTAAAATTAGACAGTTTTTAATCTTAGATATGGTAACGACAAACTTTACAATAGGTCACAAGTCAACTACTTTTTTGTTTTTCACCATTTCAGGTAACTTTTCTTCATCGTGCAAAACTGTTGGGTTTTAGCCTGTGAAATATTGCTCTCCTGTTTTGATCTTTCGGCATGTGTCTTTACAAAGTGTCACCATAAAACACACAGGTGTGGAAAACATCCACACTCTGAGGCACCACACCTCACCCTCAACCCTGCCAACAGTCCTGTCAAGGCCATCAGCACGCAATCAACTTGTCTTCAAGTCTGTCCCAACAATGTTGTTCCGTGTATGCAATATGATTCACCTAATTATTCACACACAACTAATAAGAGAAAGCTTTCTTCATTGTTTCTCATGATTATAAAGACTCGTCTTGAACATCTGTTTGGAATGATCAACTTTGCTAAATGTAAGACATTTAAACTGAGATAGTGTGAATCTGGGAAACTTACAGCTTCCCCGAGCCATGACCTCTGTATGTTTTCCAGAAGAGCAAAAGGCTGAGGAGACAGAGTAGAAGACAACAAGCAAAAGATTAACCCAAGTTTAGCAGTGTCATCATGACCAGTCATGAGGGCTCAGAAGTTTCTGTTGCCAGAATGGTTTTCTGTGACTGTGCATTGTGCATATACTCAGTATTGTTACCAGTTTAAAAAAATGGTAGGCAGGAGGCGGAAGTGACAGAACTGGTCTAGGAAATCAGTAGTCATGGACATGTATAGTAACTGCTCAGAAACAGATATGCATTTTTGGCTATCCAGAGGCACCAGTGTCATTTTGTCCCCCGACATATCCATCTCTAGACAGATTTGGGTTACTTGGCCACTCATACCTGAGCATGAAACCATCAGTGAGCATCCAAGAAGGGTCACAGGCAGGAGGACAGGCTTTTGCAAAGCAGCAGGGAGGAGGGAAATGAGAGACCAGCACACCATCACCATTGTTCATCTCTCGGTACTTGCAGTGTGCAGATAGGCTCTGCAGTTGGTTGTCCATGGCAGTGTCCCTAGCCCTGTTGTAAGGAATGTCACCAGTGGCTGTGGGGTGTGTTGTCCCATGAGGAATCGGCCTCCCTGGTGTTCTGCCTCTCAGGGCCCGCAGAGCTCTCAGCACACAGGGCATTTACTGCAGCAGGCTCTGGAGAAACACGTAACTTGAATTCAAGTTTTGTGTATTGTATGAAGATTAACTGACTTTGAACTCATGCTCATAAGCCAAGTGCAGTATGCACAAACACCGTTGTGCTTATGATGTGTTTATTTATTCTGCTGTATTTACGTTAACGGGATGTTTTCTCTAGTCCAAGTGAACAATGCAACACTTCACTCGTGCTGGCGCCTTTCATATTAAAAAGATTTATCATTGTAGTACCTAGATCTTACAGAGAATAGCGTAAGGGTACGCCTCACATAAAGTCCTTGAGAATTCTGAAGCCAAGGCAGATTTTTTTAAAAATTCCACCGCTTATGACTGAAGAAGACGAAACCTCCGTGCCCTGGGGAACGCGATCCCTCCGGGGCTGGTCTCACGGCGCTGTGGGACGCCGGGGGCAGTCACACTCCGCTCTCTCCTGAGAGCTGGAGGGGACATCACGGAAGCGGCAGGCTCTCCTCCCCTCCGGCACTCAGATCCCGCAGCGACCAAACCCGGGCGCGCCCAGCGAGCCGCCCTGTCCCGCCTCCGGGAGGGGGCTGCGCCCTCACTAAACATGGCGCCGCTAGTGTCTGCTTGGGCTCTGACGTCAGAGCACTGCTGGCCAAGATGACGGCTGTTCTCCTGCGGGCTCCGCGGAGCTGGCCCCTGTCCAACATGGTTGCCGCTGCCCGACTGCTTCCGGCGGCAGCGGCGCTCGTTGGCCCTCAGTAAAGATGAGCAGAGAGGGGGCGAGGTGCCCTGGCGGCCGCGGTGAGGGACTGAGGTGAGCGGCCATGCGGCCGGCGGGGCCTGCGTGAGCGGCGCGGAGAGGCGAGGCGAAGGGAGGGCTGCATCTGCCGCCGGGCGGGGGAGAAGGAAGGCTCCTCGCAGCGCGGCCGCTTCTGGGGAGCTGGGCACCTGCTCGGCCGTGAAATGGCGGGTCGGGGCCTGGCCGAGGCCTGTGAGTTCCGCCGAGGTCTGGGCGGGATGTGGGGACGGCGGGGTGCGCCCGCGGGACTCCAGCCCGTTGTGTCCCAGGGCCCTCGGTTCCCTCCTCCGCAAGGAGCAGCGTCTGTGGATTATAAAAATTTCCAACTGTATAAATGAATTAGTTGTGAGAGGCTTCTCGAGGTTTGCTTCATTGGAAAAGACGAAATAATCCGAAAGCTTCTTCTTTCCCCTGCAGTAGGACTTGCTAATTCTTTATTCAAAATATAAAGGACTGTTCAAGATTTATAAGACTGTTAAGTATTTGGCATAACCAGAAAACTGCAAATCAAAGGTTAGAGTCCTTTCCAGTTACTGACTCTGTACGTAATTACCTATGTGTAGGTAATTGTGTATGTACAATATACAAACATAGAGAAATGTGTATATACGTATAACCTGTGTGCATACCTGTGTGTGTAACTTAGGGCACCACAGGGAGGCTGAAGGGGCTGTTCATCAGCTGCTGTTGGCACCCAGCTGTCTGTGTCCCAGCAGTATTTAGGAATGTTAACTTGGCATATATGTATGCCATAAGTGCATATGTGCGTCACTTCCATAAGATGGGAAGAAACTCTCTTAATTGCTCTCATAAATCTCAGAAGTTGCTTCATGAGTGATGATCTGTCTTGACAGATGCACCCCAGTGGCAAACAGCACCAAGTTTTCATGTACAGGTTGAATAATCAGCTTCATACCTGGCTTCTCTTCAGAACTCACACTTTTTGCCTGTACTTCTAATCTGGCACTTCACCAGAGGGACTTCTGAGAATTTTTCAGTGGTTTTTTTTACCACATAAACAGAGGTCATAGGACACTGCTGTCATGTCCTGGGTTCAAGCTGCAGTCAGCCGATCCAATGAGGATATATTTGATGAAGATGCAGATGAGATGTATCTACTACAGAAGGAATGGAACAGCACCATGAAAAAAAGATTGAAGGTATTTCTATAAAAATGATTTAATAGTCTTTTTAGCCATTTTAGATTTACTGAGACATACCTTGATATACATATGGATGATTTAAAGGGAAAAGTAAGAGTGGCTGCTTAAAAGTTATTGTGGCTTAGTTTCTTCTCAATATCAGGAAAATGTAGCAGGAATTTAGGGAAACTCTTCTTAGTAGTCATCACAGCAAAGTACTGTTTTACCAAAAGACATTGGATCCCTGTGCATGAGCACATGCATTTATAAAAGGCAGTGCTGAATTGTGATGCAAGCTATTTGCTTTGTATGTGTAGGTATACCCCTAGTAAATGTAGGGCCAACACAGCTGAACAGTGCTAATAAAGAAATATGAGATGCTTGGGCATTTAAGTAGAGTTTATTCATCAGTCAGATTGTAAGATGTGAGACTCCACATGCAACCACAATTGGGCATTGTGGTCTGTGTAGTTCTTTGGTTGATTCATTCAAGTGAAAATGCATTTTATGAAAGTTGCTTTTCACAGCCCTTGCTCCATGGAGTTCTACAGGGAACAAAACAAGTACATAAAACAGGTTAGTTCAACAGATACATTGTGATTCAGAGTGGGGCCAGTAGGGCTCATCTGCTCACTCACGGGTGAGCAGCATTTGGCTGAAGAACATGGAAAGAAGCTGTTGCATAGACTGTTCATGAAGAAGGTTATTACAGCAGAGCTGGTGTATTACTGTCCAAGGAAGTTTCCTGCATACGAGTCCCTTGAAAAGACTGGCTTTCTTAAGGGGCTGTTTAGTATTCTTACACAAATCCCTCTGATGTTTGTGAGTAGAAACTGCAAAATCATAAAGTGTTGTGGAAGTTAGAGTATGTTGGGCAAAAACCAAAAAAAAACCACAAGTATTTGTGTTCCTGACTGTTTTTCTTGCAGGGCCACCAGTTTTCTCCCAGCAAATGGGAGTTTTCACTCTTACAACTTGCAATTTTGGTGTGAAAAAAATTAAAAATTATTCTGTGCTATATCTTAATGTGATTAGAACATAAAGAAATTAATTTGCATTACAATCATTAACTGTTTCTTACAAAAAGCAGTTAAAATATTATGTGTACTTATATGTGACTCAGTCCATCACCATCTTTTTTTCTGGTATAACTGTTGAATTGAGTGAGATCTAGCAAATAAAAGAGCAATGCTCAACAATTAGTTTTGGAAGAACAGGTAGATGGATTACAGACAGGAGAGTACTCTGCCAAGTACTACTTGGGCAGCCTGTTTATTTTTTAGATAGAAAAAAGAAGTCTAGATGTGGTATTCTTAAATGAATTTTTCGTAAAGAACTTGGTCATCATAAAAGCAATCATGCTTTCTTGCAGATGTCTTATTTTTTTTTATTTTTCTAAGAATACTTTCCCTATTTTTTGATCTTCTGGGGATACTTTTGAAAGAGAACTGGACCTTACAGTCAGTAAATCACCATGCATTGCAAAAGGTGTGTTTTGGTTTGGCAATGGGTATGTAGCTGTGAGGGATGTTCAGATCTAGAAGCTGTTATTTAAGAGATTGAATACATGTTTAAACTTTTTTTATTGTTATGCGTTTGTCATAGGTCCAATTTGTCATCTTGTGAACAACCTGTTTCACTTCTCTTATTATAGGAAGGCTATAGGGATGGAGTTGAGGCTGGGAAAGAACTTGCACTCCAGAAAGGCTTTAATCAAGGTTACAGACACGGTGCCGAGCTGATGATTACATGTGGCCAGTTCAAAGGAACCCTGAAGTAGGTTACAAACTCCTTAAGGTCAAGTGCATGTGGAGAGTGTGTATGAAGGAACATGCATGCAACCTTTTGTTTGTTTTAATTTAAAAAAACAAGTGCATTGTAAAACTGCCCAAAGTGAGGAACCTGAGAATTCTCAGGTCTTGAATACAGGGAATTGCCTACCTGGGTGTAGAGTAATCATTCTTGAAAAACCTCCTTCAGTTGCTCTTCCAAAATTAACTGAATCTTCATCTTTAAGCTTAATACTTAATTCTACTGCTTGAATTATCCATAAAATGTACATGTACACTTATATAGCATTGATATCTTGGCACATTGTTTTCTGCCTTCGCCAATTGGAGGTCTGTGTAGATACATATAATCACTTTTGGTTTTGTTCACTTTTCAGTGCTCTCTTATCCTGGTGTCGTTTTAATGGACATGATTCTGCTTTAAGTAAGATAACTAATCTTCTTGATGTGGTTGGAAAGCATGAAGAAGATGTGCTTAAGTATCTGAATTCTACTGAAGAACAGCCACATCTTAGACATGTTTTAGACTCTGTTGAAGACATGGACCTTAATCACACAGCTTCAGCTGGGACAGAGTACAAGGAAGTTAAAGATGGAAAACAAGAGGATGGTGGCAGCTCTGGTGAAAACATCTGTAGAAATAATAGTAAGGCTGGTTCCTTGCAGTCTGGGTGCAGCAAGGCAAACCTCTGCACAAATCCTGAAAGGTCAACGCTTGCTTGGGTTAAAAAGCAGACTGTTTGGCTGGTAGAGCAACTGGGCTTATCATTGGATATACTCCATCATGTCCAGCAACTGAAACATTAGTTTTTCTGTCTCATGGTACTTAAAATTATCTCAACTAGTTTTGCTTCTCCCTTTGTGCACCATGTACGGGCCAATGCATCACTTTGTTTTAGGAAAATCTGATACTTTCCAGTAAAAGTAATTTCTGTAAATCTTCACTATGCTTTTGGCTCCTGGCAAGACCCCTCACTTTTAATCTTAAGGTAACATTGACAGAAAGGGGCAGTGACACTTAAAGCTCTCCAAACAGTTACTAAACATGTTTCTGTTCTGCATCAGAAGCTCTCATTTCACTGTCACCTTCCCTTGGCAGGAATTTGGAAATAAAGCGGGTCCATTAAATAGCCCCTCTAAATTGGTTCCCTCTGCTATCTAAAGAATAAATGTCTAGTGCTATGGACAAGCAACTCTTGCAGAATAAGCTGCTGCTGCTGCTATGCTAAATATATGCAAAATAGAACAGGATTTGCTGCTGATTCCTAGAGTGCTGTGACTCTCTCGTCATTATATAAAATACAGGAATTTTTCAGCTTTTGTCAAATTCTTCCTCTTATCTTTTGTAACGACTATACAGTGCATTTTCACAGTTAAAAACTATTTTTTCCTCCTTGTACAAGTCTATTTATTTTGTTTTGCTGAAAATACACTATTTTTCTCAAATTCAGAATTACTGACACTTCCACGTTTTAGACTCTTACCCTGTCAGACCACATTAAACATGCTTCCAGTCTAATGAACATCCTCATGTTATTTTTGTATTTCTTTTGCCAGTCCCTCAAGCCTGAACTCTTTCCCACATTCCCATAATGTTTTTCTCAAACTCTTCAAGGAAGCCAGGCTTATTCACCACCTCTTAGAAACACATCAGCCAACACATGCGTATTCCTGACCACTTTGTATTTCTGTGCCAGCATTCCATATTTGACTCATTTTCTTATTGCTTGTCTTAACTGTAGCTGTAAACTGCTCTGTTCATGAAGTTTTTGCTTGGTGAATGTCTCTCTATTTTACACTAATTAAACTGTTTTATAGTAAGTTAAGAGTTTGCTTATTTTAAGTTGCTTGTAACCCTCCTTCAGATCTGAGACAAAGCAAGTCTAGACAGAGACAAACTAAAATTTTGAACAGTCAGCTTGACTATACTTGCAGAAAAAAAAACAATCCAAAAAACCCCCACAAAACACTTTCATACTTTGAGGCCAGAAAAAAACTAAGGCAAAAATTACTTGATTTTCAGAACCTGAGTTTACAGCTTTCTTACTAAAGACACTGTTATCCTGTCACAGAGGTGGTAGAGCGTAAGTTTGGTTGCCATTCAGTACCTCTTCTGCTTTAGGGGTAAACAAAACTGCAGTTAAGAGTGTTACTGAACCTGTTTCTGAAATAGTGGACAAATAGGGCTGTCTGCATTAATTGTCTGTACAAAATTATTCAAGTAACTTTTTCTCCATTTATTTAGCATAATGTTGCCATGGATAAACATTACTTTTCTACAAGTGCATGTGTGTGTTATAGACTGTATCATGTATGTTAAACAGAGATTTCTTCCATATTGCGGTAGAATAAAGGTTACTACAGTAGTGTTAGACTTTCCAAATTTGAATGGTTAAAAATGCAAATTCAAGGGTATTACTTCTACATATTTAATAGTTTGCAAAGAGGAAACACCTTTCACAAATTACTAAGTAGACTTTCTTTTTGCTTATCAAACAATAGATTTTATTTGTCTATCATAACAGCTTCTACACTAGCTATGGAATTAATTTTCCTCCACTCTGCACAAAGTTTCTGTTCGTGATGAGAGGTTACTTTTTTCCATGTTATCACCCAGAGTTTCCAGTTTGGCTGTGGAGAGATTTTCTTCTGTGCTGTCTGTAATACTTGGCTTATTTGTCACTACCAAATCATGCTGACCAGCCACAGAAGGGCTTTCTTTGAGACTATTAGAATCTGTAATTTGCTCAGATGGCAGTTCATGTGGTTGTTTTGTGTCTACATCCATATCTTGTGTTTTGCTATCAGCTTTCACCTTGGCAGCATTCCTGAAAATAGCTCTCATGACAACTGGGACTGACATGCAGCTGAAGAAGGAAATGACACATTAGTCACTAATGCAGACTGCATCCATTCTTTAAAGTACTTCTGTTTTTTAAACTGTGGCTGACACCAGAATGAAAAACAGCTCTACCTCTTTGCATCTTTTTGCCTCATAAAACCAGGTGTTACACTGTAACCACAACATAAACTACATGTGCTGCACCAGAAACAAATACAGTGCTGGATCTTTGAACTTAGTGGTGCAAATTGAAAGAGTGGGAGGGTTTGGTCAGAAAAAAAGTCATAAGGGTGCTTCTGATGAAAACCTAAACTAATAATGTTGAAATATATTCATTCTTGCTGAGTTTTGTAATTTCATGTTTTGTATAGGACAGGTAGAGAGCATATCTTTTCTAAAACACTGTCTACAGTGAAGGAGGTTTTTTCCCCACTCTTAACATGATTCCAATTAAATACTACCTAGTTTAAAGTTGGGTTCAAAATCCAGCCTACATTGATCTTGTTATCAAACAGATAATAGTCGTATGCATACTTATGGCATTTTTTTCTGAAAAGAAGCACTGTTTGCTATTAGGTAGATGTGTAAAAAGACCTTTCCATGCTGTTCTAAGTTATACTAGTCATTAGACTGTCATCAGCTAGTGTCTTCAGAAAAGCATATTTACAAAAGGGAAAAGCATAAACGATGAAACTCTTCATTCAAGTCTTTCCTTGCTCCCATGTGCTTTCTACTAGAAACACTTCATCACTATTAATGTTTAAAATTTTTGAAAGAGATACTTAAGACTGTGAAGTAACTTATTCCTATTACTGTATTACAACCTTTTCCTTGAGTGAAGTTTTCCAGTTGCTGAGTGTATGGCATTATGAACACGCGTGGTATTTCCATTAAATGGACACCTGATGTTCATTCCAACTGTTATGAAATAAAATAAAACTACTTACCTCTTCACAGCTCTTGCTATGAAATCATCACTACAACCTAGAGCTGGATCTTGAGGATTTAAGTGAAGGTGACAGTGGACTTCTCTGGAGGTTATAACATCAATCATCACTAAGAAGGAACAGAACAAAAAATGCTTGTTTTGAAATAATTACAAACATTGAAACCCATCCTTTTATTTTGATGCTCGAAGAGACGTAAGACTGAAGTCAGTGGACAGAGGTTTGCAGCAATACATTTGCATGACATGCTTTTTCTGAATACATTTAAATCACAAATAGAAGTTACCATTTATTAATTAAATGCAGGCCAAGACAAAACAGGATTTGAATATTTTCATTTGCTTTCTGTTTTATTCTGGGTTCGGAATACCTTTTAGTAAGCAGTTTATACACAGGTGCAACTCTGTTTTTCATGGCCTGCACACCATTGAGAGTGGCCTTTAGAATGTACTTGTTACTGAGAAGCATAGTGCAAGAGCCTAGACAGAACCAAGTCCCTTGCCAGCTGAGTAAAGAGGACAGTATCAATTATTCCACACATACCACAGGCTAAATTCTCTTTCACAGGATGAAGGAAAAAGACACAAAAGCTGGTGTTCCTGTGTGGTACCACTTCAAAGTAAAGCAGTTCTGAATCATCTAGAAATAAAATTACTGTTTAGTGATATCCACCCATTGAATCTGGATGCTGTTTGGCTGAAACATATGCCAGAATTTAAAAAATACTGATGCAGTAGAATCTAATTATTCATTACTTTGACAGCTTAGTTTATTGTTATAGATGTGTCAGGCCTAGGAGATAGTAAAAAAAAAAAAAGGAAAAAAATGCAACACAGTGTTAAGAATTTTTTTATCATTTACAATACTTCATAAGTAATGACAGTTTTGGCAAGGGAGCAGAAAAATCTGTTAACACCCAGCTTAGAACCTAGTTTCTCTCTAATACTCTGCCATCACTTCCAACCACACAATTTACCTTCATTTATATGCTTGTCAGAGACACAGCTGCTAATAAGAGTGTTATATGCCACTTGATGTCGAAGAATCTCTATTACACCAGGCACACAGTTTGGATGGCTAAATGGGATTTTTCTGACCAAGGCTCCTGCTAAATCTGATTTTTCTGAGCCTTTGTTTATGAAGTAGCAGTGCTTTGGGCAATCTGGAAGAGACTAAGGAACAAATATGGTGATATTTCAGGCACTGAAAACAGGAAAGTAAAGTTTGATGTTAACAGGCAACTGCAAAATCTGACAACAATAATAATTTTGAAATATACATTTCTTACATGTCCATCATGTCTATGCATTTCAGTAGAAATATAATGCTTAGATAAGGAAGCTAAATGAGATCCACTGTCCCTCCCAAACACATTCAAATTAGGTGAATATACCTAGAGCCAAGTGGTCAGGAGTTCAAGTACCATCAATCCTTCCAACTATTTTTAAGAGCCCTGTAGGCTATAGAAATGTTAGAGAAAATAGAAAATATTCTATAACAGTTGGAATAACAATAATAATAAACACTAAATAATAATAATAATAAACACTGTTATATTCTACAACAACAGAAATAGAAATGTGATAGAATATGTTCTATCAACCAAGATTTACTCTCACAATAATACCATAGTATTATTGTTGCACAAAAAGGATAGCAGTTTTGCCTGAAATCTCTTTTGGACATCATACGTTGTTCCTCCCTCCATCACTTCTACTTTCTTTGGAGAAGCATGTTTTGCTGGAATATCTCCTGATGATTCATTGGTAGAGGAGGAAGTGATAGTAAGAAAAATTTGCCACCTGTCCACATTGACAGTGATTCTTTGACAAAGTTAGAAATGCAATATTGTGTTATCTACTTCAAGATGCCAAATGGGACCTATCGCCTTAAGAACAGGGCAGGGCTGTTAATTAGCAGGGTCTACATTAAGAAAAACTGAAGAGCAGAATAAAAGAGCTTTTCCTCGTGTGTTCGTGGAGCAAAAGGATTTCCCCTACACTTATTTCAAGGTTAGAGTGCAATTTTGTAATTTATTCTAGAAATAAAATATTTAAACTCAGAAGTAAAACAATCTCCCAGCAAGTACTAATATTCTAGGGAATTTCTGAAAAGTTAAAGGGCCTTTCATGTGTATCTAATAGAAGTGAAAGATTAATTTAATCTTACCAGTTTTACAGATAAGAGCTTTGCCAAACATTACTTTAGCCTAGTGTAAACTTACTACTACCTTCTGTACTACCACCTCAAAGTCCAAGAACTAAGTAGACAATGGGGTCTGCTAACACTGCTAGTGGAACAGAAAAAAAGTACCCTCTTCTTTTGTTGCCATGATCTGCAAAATTAATGTTACCTAGCAAACAAAAAAGTAGATCTTTGAAGATTGTCTTGTAGTTGCCCTGTACGTAAGTCTGGCAGAAGGCATCTCAGCTACCATTTTCTATTCTAAAATTTTACATCTAATGCAGCCTAATTGACTATTTTTAATAATGGAGTTATTAAAAGGGAAGCCTTCTTCAGTTAAACAACCTTGTCTCTAGACAGCAATTGACATCACTGGTTTAACACTTTATAGTTTTCTTCCTGCCAATCCCTTTAAAAGAAATCAGTATACTCAGTGCTATCTAATTAAGAAATCTCATTTGTTAAAACAGTGTGACATACAGCATGATAAAGACCTTCAAAAATCTAGGTAAGTACCTTCTTGGGACTTGCTCCTCACACCAGTCAATAAGTTTCTTTCTTTTTAAGGCATTAATGATAAAGTTCTGAGCAATTTTTAGAAGAATAAACATTTAGGTTACACACAGACAAATCAGTGTGACTTCAGGAGCCAAGTACACAGTGTTTCATTAACAAGGATGAGAAACTCACTTACTCGAAAGGATCTAATATTGTTTCATAATTACTTGAACTATTTCCTAAAGAGCACTTAAATACTCTTGGGTTCTGGTAAGTCTACATTGCTTGTTTATGGGGAAATATAATTCAGTATACATGTTTTGCACAACAGCACAGTGTGTGTCAAATGCCCACTATACTCACCACAAAGAAACAAGATTCATTTGTAGACAAGTCTTCACTGCATTTGTCTTTTAGAGCAGACCAAACAATTAGCTCATACAGCGGAGCTAGTTTCAAGCCAGAAATCTGAATTCCTGAAACCAGGTAATTTTTTTATTATCAATTAGGTTATGACTGTAGGTTATGAAAGCTAATATTAAAAACAGAAGCAATGTTTTGAAAAGACAAAACCATTGATCTCTTTTCTTATTCCCCTTTTTTTGCTATTGGGAATTTGAGGTAGGGTGTTTTAACAGCTTTGTCCGTAACTGTCACGTCTTTCTTAGAACTTTTGAGCTTTGCACTGGTTGCTAAAATGTTACACTTCAGCTGATAAGACAGACTGTGTTCTGCCCCAAAAACAACTTTTTCCTCTTGCAACATTAACACTGGGCAATAAACAGCAAATAAGCAACGCACAGAAGTACTTAGTCTTAAAAAACAGTTATAACATGCCTGTGAGCCTGTGTATATCTTCAATACTGGATGAGGACATAGGAACAGGCTGATGAAACTTCAGCACAAAAAGAGCTGGCAAATCCATGCTGAGTTCATCAGTCAGTTGCAAAAAAGCAGGGTTGCTGGGAAAAAAAATTGTCATAATGAAAGTTTTTCTACAGAAATTGCCATACCAAGAACTCTTAGTGCAAGGCCACTATCAGGTCCCTAGCAGTCTATTATAGTCCAGACTTCTGACTTGAGAAAAGTTTTGCTTTATAAATGCAACTTTAACATATTAAAACATGCTTAATGTGAAAACTGGCAGAAAGAAAAAATGAGACACCTGAAACTGAGTGATGTTTGCTATAAATCATTCCAATGTGTTTTATTTTGGAAAGTTACTTCAGACATTCCCTCCAGCCAGCACTGAGATAGAGAGAAATAAGGTATCAATACCCACAGTGGGACAACAAACTATTTTGTATATTTTAGGTGTAGTATCTTTCAATATATGCTTTCTTTGCTCTGAAACTATGAAGGAGTTGATTGTTGAATACTAGGAAGTTAGGTAATATTGTTCCAGTGGCTTGCTCTGGCTTCAAAATCCACAGTTCAATGCAACTGACACAGTTAAATATGAACGCAATACCTTTAAAGTCCATTTGGGAAAACTGTAGAAACTACAGATTATAGAGGGTTTAGCTATGGAACATAATGCAATCAATAAAACAGAGCTGCCTGTTTTAGCAGAGGCGAAATCTAAATTATGCTGAAGTTAGCGCTGATGACTTGTAAATCCATTTCTGTACTGAGAAAAGTCCAGAGCCTCACCTGTCCTCTCCAGATTGAGGATCTACAATCAGTGGAGAAAGAGGAAGTTTGTGGAGCATATCAGTGCCTTCAATAGTTACAACTGTTTTTGTTCCACAAACCTGGGAACCTGAGGGAGAAAGAGAATTGCATTATTTTCCTCTTTTCAGTGTAGATTAATCCTATGCATGCAAAACATGCAAGGTCCTTGAAAGTCAGGTCCAACTGACAGCCACAGCGATGCAGGCAGAGAGAAGTCTGTGGTCTGCACAGACCACACCCAAAAAGCCAGAGTTGCCCAAAGATGACAGCAGCAATAGCTTCTTTTGAGACACACTATGAAACAGATCAAAAACATCACCGGTTATTTTCATGCTGAATTAGGCAGTTTATTGTGGGATATCACTACAATTTGAGTCAATATCCAAGAAATGGAAAGTAGTTTCCTGATAGACACTAAAATTGTGCTAAAGTGCATCTTATAAACAGTTCTACTAAATTAGAATTTTATTTCTTAGTTTCATTATTCTGCTTTTCTAGCTTTACCAGGATTTAGTTCTGCTTCCAAAATTTGATAGGGAGAAATGTAAAATTCAATGTTCATAGGAGTTCCTGAGGAATAAAAAAAGAAAAATAATGTTTACTACAAAGGTCAGAGGAAATACGTTAAATACCTTGAAACAAAGGTGAAAAAAAACAACACTGTAGATGGGCAGAGGGGATTCCTCGTAAGAGTACATCTCTAATTACAATTTATGTTCAAATCACAGGATTTTCTTAGCATAAAAGAGCTAAATCCTCCATGTATAAATCATCAGATATCTTTGAAATCATCAGATTAAGTTAATTTCTCTTGCACAATAGCCTGTTGTTCAGCCTTAAAAATATTAGCTGAACTTCTAGCTTTCAGTGAGTACTCCAAAATAAAAGGGAAAGTTGCACTACTTGCATAAGGGACACAAACTGTACAACAGAATAGTGGCAACATGTATTAGAAATACTTTTCTGAACTATAACACGTTCATGGTTAAAGCTCACTTCTGACACTGCAGGTGAGCCAAAAAACTTATCAACTGGCTATATTTGCCTTTTAGGCAACCAGAGCATTCTCTCAGTTACTGCTGCTGTCATCTCATGGTTACTCTAAACTGTGGTTTCCCACCTAACCTCAGAATATTGCTGGCTTTGCTTTTAGGCTGCTGCAAAGTCAATGTTGCAGCAGCTGATAAACCACCTGGCCTCCTTGTATTTTCTCCTTCTGTATGTGTGTACATTATCTGAGAATACAGGCACAATAAGTCTCTACAGCAGGTTTTATTTATAATAGTGGATCTTTCCTGTAAACAAAGATCAACTCAGTAGGGTTTTTTAATTACAATCCTTTGAATTTGGAAAAGGGAAAAGAGGGAGAAAAAGAAAAAAATCACCTCTGGTTCTTGGCACCAGGTGTCCTACTTTCCCATGAAGTATTTCAGTAACTCTGTTTACATCCTGTGTTCTAGTTCAAAACACATCTTGATTAGTGTTTCCTGAGTTGCAGTGCTAGCTAGGCTAACGTAAACCATAATTTGTATTCTTAATCAAAGGGAGATGATGCTTTCTTGCAAGTGGATTGTGTCTCCATTTGTTATGACATCTTCCAAACACCATCATTCCAATTACACATTACTTCTAGTACTTGGACTTCCAGTTTCAACCCTGTATCTGAACTGTTTCATGTTGCACTTTGATGTGCTATTTACCAGAAATGAAGGGGGTCAAAAGTGTTAGTGGTAATTGGTTAAGCAAAGAATGAGGAGATAACCTGGATAAACTAAAACAGAACCAGTCTCTAACCTCAAATGTGTTCATATAGCTGAATACATACAGCCATACATTTACATAGCTGTGTACTAAAGCTCTGCATTGCAGATGGGGCAAACAATCTATTTAACTCTTAAATAATACTTACTGAGATCAGTGACCAGCAAGGATACAGTATATTAGTTCACAGTGTTATTATGCTTCATAAGGGAACAGTGTGCAAAAATAAACCAAGAGTGTGTTTCAAGAAGGCTATACCTGCCAAGAGTACTTAATAGGCAAAATATCAGAAAAGATACTTCAAAAATCCAGAAGGAAAACATTGCCCTCAATTCTGATTTTCTGAAAGGAATGAAAAACCTTGTACAATTACAAGGCTTTAGAAAAATCTGTTCCCCATCCACTGTAATCCTATTCTTTGAAAGGAGAAATGAGAAAAGGAAGGAGGGCATCCACAACTCCTGATCTAAAACCTGAGCACAAATTGAGACACCTAAACAGCAGGACCCCAAAAGGTATATTTTACTTCTGCCACAGGGCAATCTAAACATGACAGCTGACTTTCAGATTCACTGTTTGCTCCCAGTGGGTGGTCACATGCACACACACCCAAGCTCTGCAACCAACCAGTTTCCCAGAAAGTCTTAGATAAAGCACAGGAGTTCAGTAGATCTTGTTTGCCATGCCTGGTGTTGACAAACTGCAGAAAGGCTTCCAGCTTTCCAGTGGGAGAAAACTCAGCGTTCCATATCTATATAATTAGATCAGTTAACTTGTTCTTTAGTGAAATGAAGGGGTGGAGGTGGAGGTAAAGGGACAGACTTTAAGTTACCTGTCCAGAAGAGACATTGAATAAAGGTCTTTTTCAAGGGCCTGCAAAGCAAGATATCCCTTAGCTTTCATTTCACTGGGAGAGAGAGAAGACAATGTATTATTTTAGTAAGTAAACAAACACAAGGCTACTGATCTTAAAAGCTTTTCAAGTAAAAACTAGCTGCAACCTGTTTCCTGGAATTTGATACATATTTGACAGGTCTTCTAAAATCTTTCCAAAGGCATCATAGTTCTTCATCCTAACAAAAAGAAATAATTGCTATTACACTACTAAATGAGATGGAAAATAACTCTTTTATATGAAACTTGCTAGAAAAAGCATAATTTCAGAGGTGCTTCCTCCTTATCAGATCTGGCAAGTAGCAGTACTGCTTTTCAATTTTCTTCGAAAATACCAGGAAACGTGAATCCTTGTTTTTGTTGCAAGAAGCACTGTGATTATAGCTGAAACTGCCACTGAAATAGGCACTACTAAAAGCAATAAACGTACATGAGACAAAATTTGACAGCTCATCAGTTGCAAAACACTTTTCTTGATGATCCAATAAAGCTTGTCATTCCCTTAATGCCACATGTATACATTGTTCTCTTCATCAAAATACCAAGTATTGTATTAATGCTGCATTTCACAGCACCTTGTGAGAGACACCCTCAATATAATTGATAAAAATAAAAAAAAAAAAAAGAGTGGGACAAGTGGCTTGGTGTATGAAGGAATGGTTCAGACTGCTCAAAACCCAGAATTCCCACAGATATCACAGACTGGATGTGATAGCCTGGAGCTCTGCTCAGACTAACCCACCAGGTATTAACTCACCTGCTTCAGTAGATTTTACTGAGTTTTACAGGTCTTAGTAGATTCTCTGGTGCTGCAGTCATGCCAACAGCTGTACTCAAGAAGACCTTTGTAGATGCAGCTACAACGTCGGTCACCAGAGACAAAAAAAACCTGCCTGGACTTTCATATTGGAACAAATCCTTTCAAAACAGGAACCTAAACAAGTCACTCAGCTCTTGCATGACTCTGCATTAGCTGGCTGGTTCATCATGATTTCATAGTTACTTTGAGACTCACAGGAAACATTACACATAAAACAAGCTGCCTTGCAAACAAATAAAATACTACACCAAAAGGTGTAGAAGGTATACTTGTGCTTTTTGACAAATCCTAACAAAACTAGGAGGGCAGACAAGTAGTACCCACGGTGCCATTGGTAATGATATTCACTCATAGCCAAACTTCCAGCAGTTAACATCACTGGAAGTCAAAAGTCTAGGAAAATGCAAGTTAAAGCTTTAAGACATAGCAGTTGATACCCATTAAGCTAATATAACTTAATTTCTGAGGAAAGAGAAGGCTGGGAAAACTGATAATGCATAATAGGTCCACTTAGAAGAGAGATGGAAACACTCAAGGTCAATGATATTCTTTCTCTCTCTACCTTCCTTTTCAACTATTCTGCCAAGGTATTTACAAAAGAATCCAATTTCTTAAATATACTTATTATTAGTAAAACCTGGAACCGTGATCATACTGGCTAGAGAATTTCTAAATATATGTTTAAAGTGGTGGCCTGACCTGGAACAGCAACTATTCAGACAGAACAAAACATGGTAATAATAATAAAAGAATGTATATATAGTGCCCTACTACCACATGAGAAAATTCAAGTAACATGTTCTTCTATGCATTCGCAAACAAACTCAGGCCATGTAATACCAGCTTGCTTTCATTGCTGTGACAGAAACCTGATGGACATGTAATTTAAAACATTTGCATAAGGACAATACAAAGACTATTTAGTATTTGATGGAAGGAGAAAGGGAAAAGTAATATCTAGTTTGGATCTGTCAAACTGCCAGTTCTGAATTGTCATCATCAGTCCATTACCAAAACTATGGGTTCAATTATAAGTTCTGTAATTCTTGCAATCAACACAAACGCCACTATTCAAAGGCTGTGTTCAACTGGCAACTAGAGCCAATGTATTGGGGAGTACTCTTTATCCTTTCTCCACTGAAACAGATGCATTTTAGCTGTTTTCAGTGGAGTGACTTGAGAAATAAGTAATGCCTGGAGTATATTTTCAAAATTAATGTTGCTACAGTTTTAGCCTTGAATTTACAAAGCGGAAGCAGGTAATAACAGATACAATAACCACCAACTTCCAATATGGAGCACGGGAAGCAACTGCCCACTTAAATGGAATCCAAAAAGGTGTCAGTTCTGTCATTTTCTGGATTCATATTTTTGGTTCCTGATTCTCTTTTTATTTTTTCTCTTCAGTTTTTACAATGAAACCATTCTAGCCTCAGGTACTCCGTTCCATTCAAAAGAGACCCTGCACATGATTGTTTACCTTAGAAGCTGCACCAAGTCATCACAAACCTACAGGAATAAGAGAGGAATTTCATCATTCTTGCCATCCTTTGTGAAGCATCTCTTAAAAGCATTTAATTGGTAATGATAAGCTTGTTCCCCATTACTTTTAAGTAGCTCAATGGTTAGCTTAAAAAAACCTCAACACACAAAAACCAGACTAACAGTACAATAGTTAAAACATAATATTACTCTAATAATTGGAAGAACAAAGGCTCTGTGAAAGAAGATAAAATTAATAGAAATAGTTTGTTGGTAAATATCTTTCTAGAAAAAAAACCAAATGCATCTTAGCCAGCCCAATTTTTCTTTTATTGGCTGTTACAGTGCTAGAATTCTCTGGGTATGCATTTCCATCCAGCACTCACTGATCAACAGCCCTGTGCTGGTTAAACAGAACAATTTGAAATTCCTGGGCTGACTGCAACTAAAAATTAAAAAGTTAACTTCAAAGTAATGTAATAATTTGGATACTTACTGATAAAAAACAGACTTTATAATCCCTGCCAACAGCTTGTTATATCTTTGATTTGAAGGACTGTCTATAACACTTAACAACTGAGGAACATGGTATGTGAACTTCAGGGTGATATTTTGTGAATAGTGGAAATTTTGCAAGAAAAACATCCCCACTAGTAGGAATACACAGACTCTTAAAGAAGGCAAAAACAGAATAGCTCCAAGACATCCACTGAGATTATATATTTCCTTAGTAGGAAAATACTTAAACCACCTGTTATTTACTGTATGAGAATACAAATATTTAGGTGGGATACCAAAAAATTTTTGGAAGGTGGGCATGTCAGCTGACTTTTACCATAATATTTAGCACTAGAATATTTAGTATTTGTAACCGAGTTCTAAGTCTAGGTGAGAGATTCAGATGCCTAAAGAAGTACTTAGTGTCATGTACAGGCTTGCAGGTGTGACAAGACCAAAAGGAAGCCAAAGCCTTACTGGCATGGCAGCTGGAGGCTAGGTGACAGACTACAAGGACATGAGAGGCAGAAAATTAATTTTACCACAGGAGCTTCTCCAAAGTGAGCCAACTTTACGTCCATCAGATTTCCATCCTTCTCCAGCTGAACTTCTAAATAAAACATCATTGATGTTATGTAGCAGGCAGTCCCACTGGGACTAACATGAACATTAAGTCTGAGGAGAGGAAAAAGAGAAAAAGGAAAAGAAAAAAAAAGCTTGTATATCTACAAATTCTGTCACATGAAAAAAGGAAATGGGGATAGTTCACTTGATCGTGGAAAGAGACACCAGGGATGCTTCAAAAATAACTCTTCCTTAGCTTAGCTTCTGAAAACTACTCAACCAGGCAATATATTTGTGCTCTGCTCTTTGCATTATCCTGTTGATCTGCTGAAAACTATTAAGCTCAGTCTGCAGCTTTGGGACCTAGGCATTCTTGTCCTCTCTTCACCCAACAACCTCCTCCACAAAAGGCTAAACAAAATAGGCAGTTATGCCAGTTCCAAGTAATACACTTCATTAGAACACCAATTCAAAAATAATATTGCTGACAAGCCATCCAGATGGTATTCCTCACTGGATTTGAGGCCATGCTTGCTCATTTGCATTTATTCATAAACAAACTTACCCTTTTTGTCTGGATAAAGATTCCAATGCATTCATCACAGAAAACATGGATTTAGCTGCAAAAACCAGAAATGCAATTTAATCAGACTGCAGTGAGCAAGAAGTAGAACCAGTTTTATCCTGCTTTAAACGGTATCATTTAGGTAATGAGAAAATAGCATTGCATGAATGACTTGTTATTAATGACAACTATTACTCTAGGATTAATAAGTGCTGTGCTGGGTAGAGATTATTCTCAGTATTTAAGAATAGCTATCACCTGAAAGTTTAGCCCAAAAATGAGTCACAAATCCCTTGTCTCATATCCACCTCAGTGTTTGTACATTTGACCCCTTTGTGCAGAATATCAGCAACAGAAAAGGATGGGGAGATTGCACAGAACGCTAAAAATACACTTAGTTATCCGACAGCTCATTACCATGTAATGTCCTCTCTATCTTCTCCATGCAAGAAAGCAATGGACTGTCTGGAGCATGGCTGACAGGCCTTCGCAGTGGGTTATCCTAGCACATTTGTGAAAACAAGAGACAGAGAAAGACTCCTTAAAATACTAGCTAAGAGACACAGCACGGATTCTCAGTACTACAAAACACTGGTTATTTGTTTTTGTCAAACAGAGGTTTACCTATGACTGTAGTCATCTCTAAAGAGGCAGCACTGAATGGATTTGTGAAAACATTATTGTGTAGTAATTACATACCAGATGCCTTTGGAGAACGGAGCAGCTTTCCATTCCCTTTTCTTTTGAGCTGATCACAAGACATGTTAGCTAATTTCATTGTGATGCTAGAGATAAACTAAGAAAATACTTGTTTGTGTTTTCATTTTAGAAGGAATATGCCTGAGCAAATAGAAGAGATCATTGAGTGCCACAGGTGTACTTGGTTAGAGTATAGTGAAAGTTTCAGCTGAAGATAGGCACTTAAGTAGCAAGCAAAGTCTCCCAGCTTCTCTTCAAGCTCTTGTCTGAAAACTTCTCATACTTCACACTTCAATTCACAGAGAACATTCACTGCTGAAGAGTTTTCACTATGTTCAAATTCAGGACACTGTTTTCAGAGCAAGGCTTGAGTTAAGCACTAATAAAAAGAAGCATGGAAACTAATGGGACTTTTTATACTAAGCTCGCAGCAGTTGTGCTAATCTGCTTTTTACAGATACGATTCTTAAATTAGCTACTGGAAGGGCAGGAAGCCTGGAGTGACTTAAGGTATGTCACAGCAGGAGAAAGTCTAGATAGCAGGTTTCAGACCAGTTCCTAAAAACCAGTATTTTCTCCCAGTCCTATGGGCAATAAATTGTCTTTACATACCATGAATATGGTAATGAGAATGAATGGAAAATAACCTAAAGTATTAGACAATCAGCACTAACTCCTGAATAATGCAAGAAGCAACCCCAAAAGTGTTAAAATTAGTCAGGAAAATTTTTGTATCCATTGTTGTAAGAAAAATCAGGAGTCAGGCTATACTAGGCACCAGGTTTTTGATGGGGTTTTCTTTTGCTTATTTTTGGGTTGAATTTTTTGTTTGGTTGGCTTTGCTTGTTTATTTTTTAAAGTCAAGCAGTTTTTTAACTACCTTGACAACCTGCTCTTACACCACATATCCTTCTCACCTAACCTGTGATTCTTACCATGCAAAAATAAACAAGTCTCAGTGTTTCAGTCCATGGCCTTTGCTGGTATTTTAAACACAACTGCTCCATTAAAGCATTTGTAGAAATAGCTGTCACAACACCTGAAAAACATGTCAAAATTCTCTAAATATAATGGCATGTATTTATATTGGCATCTAGAAATGTAGGAGGAAGAAAAATATAAAACCTTGCTAAGGTCATAGATGTTATGCTTCAAAGGAGGAGGTAGAAAGAAAATTTTTTGTTGAATTGTGCACACAAATATCTAATTTCTGTAAGACTTTTGACAGAAAATGGGTAGGGGAGATTTTGTATGGGTAAGTATTCTCAATATTAAATACAGATATGCAGCCCTATCTTCAGCTTGTTAAACAATTAGACTTTCTTTACCTATGCACAATTTCATATGTGTATGCTTAATAAATACCAAGGCCCTGCCTTGGATTTGAGACATCCAGATTTGTACACCCACCTCGAGCCTATTGTATGTAATTAGAGATAACTTTTTTATGATGATCGTGTTGTGATATTAGAACAGGTTGCCCAGAGAGGTGGTGGATGCCCCATCTCTGCAAACATTCAAGGCCAGGTTGGATGGGGCTCTGAACAACCTGATGTAGTTGAAGATGTCCTTGCTCACTGCAAGGGGGTTAGAGGAGATGGCCTTTAAAGGTTCCTTCAAACCCAAACTACCCCATGATTTTGCAGAGGATAATCTCAATGCAGAGGTGCAATGTGGTTTTTGGTGTGGTTTTTTTTTTTTCATTGGGACAGAATGAGAATGGGGCCAGGAGAAAGAATGTTTTCAGTCCATCACCTGTCTCCTTATAAATATTCTTTGTGGCCTTACACAGAATCCAGAGGTACAAAGAAAGTTTTTGCTGAGATGTGGTACTTCCATAACCATTAATTCCATCAGGAATAAACCTGGAGTGAATTTCCTAATACATCTGAGACAGGTAGGAAAACTCCAAAATTATTAACAAGAAATTGAGTCCCTGCAGCCTGCCACCCACTCTGCTCTGCCCCACAGAACCAGAAGAAATATTACAAAGGGCTTCTTTGACCTAGCAGGCACAAAAGCTGCAAAGAATTGTCCCTAGGAGCACTGCATGGGGAATGTCTACACCATTTGCATACATGAAGGAGGGATAGTGATCAGGCCACCCCAACCAGCTGGAAAAAGGGGAAGCAACAGACCCCCACTAACTCTTGCAAGCACCTTTACATGCCCCCACTAATGTTCCTACTCACCCATACATTCATGCTGACAGGAAAACTGCAACCCACCCTGTATCTCCATTCACACTGAGAAATCAAGTCTCCTACTTGTAGCACCTGTACTACAGCACCCCAGGTGTGCAGAAGGCTTGATGTCTCAAAAAAATAGTCCTCAGGTGTTAGTGTTTGAACCTGAGGCTAGATAAGCACAGCAACATCAACTCTGCTACTTTTTAGAAGGCATACCCTGTCAGCCATTCTCTTCCACATCTGTCTGATGAGATGGCATAATGTCTGTCCCCATCTTTTCAGAAGGTGTAGTATTATCAGAAAGAGACTAAGTTTAACTGGCTGAGAAGGGCAGGGGGAGGTATAATAGCAACAATCACTCAGCAAAATAGGCAAGCACTCCATATGGAAGCCTTTAGTCTAGCTCAGAGGTGGAAGGAGTTTAAAAAAAAAAGTAATATAGCTATCTCTAATATTTGTGTTGTATTTCACAGAATCACAGAATACGCTGAGTTGGAAGGGTCCCACAAGGATCACTGAGTCCAACTCCCAGCCCTGTGCAGGACCATCCCCAAGAGTCACACCATGTGCCTGAGAGTATTGTGCAAACACTTCTTGAACTCTGTCAGGCTTGGTGCTGTGACCACTGCCCTGGGGAGCCTGTTCCAGTGCCCAACCACCTTCCAGGCGAAGAACCTTTTTCTAATATCCAACCTAAGCCTCCCCTGAGACAAGTCTGGGCCATTCTCTCATGTTTTGTTACTGATCACCACAGAGAAGAGATCAGTGCCTGCCCCTCCTCTTCCCCTCCTGAGGAAGTTGTAGACTGCAATGAGGTCTCCCCTCTGTCTCCTCTTCTCCAGGCTGAACAGACCAAGTGACCTCAGCCACTCGTCATACAGCTTCCCCTCAAGGCCCTTCACCATCTTTGTTGCCTCCTTTGGACACTCTCAAACAGCTTAATATCTTTCCTATATTGTGGCGCCCAAAACTGCACACAATATTCAAGGTGAGGCTGCCCCAGCTCAGAGTAGAGCAGGACAATCCCCTCCCTTTACCAGCTGGTGATGCTTTGCCTGATGCCCCCCAGGACACGGTTGGCCCTCCTGGCTGCCAGGACACTGCTGACTCATATTCAACTAGCCATCAACCAGGACCCCCAGGTCCCTTTCCATGGCACTGCTTCCCCAGTCTGTCCGTACATGCAGGGTTGCCCCATCCCAGGTGGAGAATCCAGCACTTTCCCTTGTTTAACTCCATACGGTTAGTGATTGCCCAGCCCTCTAACCATCTTTCTATACTGCTTATTGCCATTAACATACTCGAAAAAACTATTTTTATTGTCTCCCACATTTCTGGCCAGCTTCAAATCCAGCTGAGCTTTGGCTGCATGAATCTTCTCCCTACAGCAGCAACATCTCTGAATATATATTTGTGTATCCTTTTGTGGCCACCTCATGTTGCTAGTCTGCTTCTACATAGGAATCAGTCCACAATGGCCGTGGGAGGTTCAAGATTTAATCCTGGACATTTGTATAGGCAATAGCTTGAAATGTGTTCACTGGGGAATGCCAGGTCTACAGCAAGAAGAACATGTCTCCTGCATAAACCCTGAGTGGCAGTGTTTCAGGATACCTTTCAGCATACTTTCTGTTATCAGGTGTCACCAGTCATGTGGCACTGCCTGAAATAGTCTCATATCACATAAAAGAGGTGATTTTGGATTTGTATGTAGGAACCTGAGTAGAAACTAACCGGTTTGTTAGCCTCACCAAGATTACAGAAAAAAATAAGCATGGGCCTAGGAATTCCAGGAGAAGTATAAGATAGTTGACAAAAAGTGGTATTTGTCTCCAGACAAGTGTCGAGCACACTATTTAGGGAAAGTCAGTGCAGATGAAAGAGTTAAATATGTTTGCATTGCAGCTTTACAAATGTGATCAAGTAAATTAATGATGTAATTCCACACTTGTGGTAGATCACACTTCCCTAAAATTATTGGCTTGGTTTATACTATTAAATATTCATTATTTTTAAACCTGACATTAAGAGTGACTATAGGTATAATCATGAGCTTTACCTGTGACTTGGTGCATGCATTTTAAAACATGTTTTCAGCATTTCTAGGGAGGCATTTTAGCTTAGGTTTGCTTGACCAATGTATTGAAATGTTTTCTGCTGAGCAAGAACATGTGCTATCCCTCATGTAAAACAAGTAGGTTGCCTCAGTCCAGATCATGTGAATGGGTATGTGCCCATAAGACACACCACAACTTGGTAGTGCTTAATATTTTTGTGGTATTTTTCATAAACGTTTGCCCAGATCCAGAGCTCCTTGGAGTCTCTGTGATCTTGATACTGACTCCAGTGGTTTGATCACATCCTGAACAAGCAGATAAGTAAACTATTTGTTGACTCTCTTGAAGAGAACACTTCCAAAATAATGGAAGGAAACATTCCACCGCTTACCTTGTCTGCATAATAGCTGTTCTGCAAATAAACAGAGAACTTGAAGTTTAATTAGTCACAGTCCAGCATGGTTGATAAGCCTAAAATACGCTTTTATTTTTAAACACAAAAAAGCCTTTTCCATTGTGCTCAAATGTATGTATTTAGGTAAATAAATTTGCATCATTTTTCCAGGATAGGGGCAGTACCAGACTTTCATACAAGACAAATATTCCAAGACAAATAGTAGCCTTCACACTTACATAAAATTGTAGCATTGGCTAAAATCGCACATGAGAAACAGCAGCTTAAGGATTGTCAGAAAGTTCCTTGGAATGAGGTGTTGTTCCAGTATTCAGAACCGTCATATCAAATTACTGCACTCAAGAGGAGAGTGAAGAATGATGAATAATTAAAAATGTTCTACTTATAGCTTCTCAGGCATATTAAATACACAAATGTTTAGCTGGGTCAGTTCATAGGAAAAAAAAAGCCAACTGGTCAAGCATTATCATCAGTATGGAAGATAATCAGAATTACCACATGAATCCTGAATGCCCACTGCTCTAGATTACTCTCTCTCTGACTGTTCATCAAAAACTGTTCCTGAAAGAATCTTTCATGTACACAGTGACTAAATAAGTTGTCCTCAGAGAAAATCTTCTCCTGCTCTCAAATAATTGCTGGTTATCTTACCTCTTTTAAAGGGTAAAACTGGTATGCTTCTAGTACTTGGCATATTGTGTCATGGCTTTCTGCATCTTGCTAAATTCCTGACTCGAATCTGCTTCACAGTGCATGTCCTGCAAACATTGTGATTCATATGCAAATAGCATTTTGTAATTTCATAGTTCTAACATTTCTGATGATTTTTTCATTTCATAGAATGGTAATTTGTTTTTCTTAGAAAGAATCAACATATTTTCTACTCATATTCTTGCATGAATTCAAGTAAACTATTTGTTTCAGTGAAGATACTCTAAATTTATTACAGAACAAGAGAAAGCTTTGCTCACTGTTAATACATCTTAATCGTAGCAGTTTGGAAAATACTCCAAGTATTCCATAATCAGTGCAACATTGGTGTATTTTTTTGTTTCTGGTTTCTTTTGGTGGTCTGGGAGTTGCTTTTTTCTATTAATCTTATATCTAGCCTTGATATTTTTTTTCATCTGAAGAATAAAAATCAAAATAAATCACCAGCAGTATATCTTTACTGGCCTACTTCCAGTGGTTTCTTGGAATGGCATCTTTCCAGAAGCCCTCAGCTGAACTACTGACCAGAGAAAATAGCAGCTACATAAGAGCCCACAGTAAGCCTAAATACAGAACTTGGGCCTGGAGCAGTCAGTGAAAACCAGTGGTTCCAGTTAGAACGGCAGGATGTGTCACTGTGATTATGAGATCAGAGGTAAAATTGTGTTCTTTCACAAAGTGCCATGGGATTTTAGAGTGATCAGCAGTGATAGGGTATGTAACTGGAACACAAATCAGTGTTTACCAAAAATGACGAGCATTCAAACAATTCCTTTATCTATCCTAGGTGCTCTTCTGTCTAAAGTAGGATAAAACCAGTGCTGCTTAACTTTTATGACCCATAGCCTAGTCTGATATGGTCTGTAGTTTAAGACTTTACAACCCATAAATACTACAATATGTTCTGTCATCTTTCCTTCACTCTCTACATCATCTCCAGTTATGAAGTGTGAATATTTAGTTCCTGAGAGTAACATCAGAATGTTGGTGACTGTATTTTATTTCACTACAGCCATATAGACTGAGACCATTTTATTTTATGACTTACTGAATAGCACTTTGGCACTGTAGTCTGAGGCACTTAACACTGGCAGGCTTTGACTGTTTCCTACTCTTTCACTGAAAGTGATTAAGATCCTTCAAAGCCAAAGGCTGTTTAGACAAACAAAAAAAATAGGTCCATAGCAAATGACTATGGATGCAGAAATGCATTAACACTGACAGGGCATATCTCTTCCTCAGCACAGAGTCAAGATATGGTTAACATGTGATTTCTGCTTGACATTAGCATTATAATTTCCAAGTAGTTCTTGTCTAAGTCTTTTTTCCCAAAGGCACTAGAACCACACAACCACGACTTAAATAACCTCATGAATGAACATGTGAGGGCTGGCTTCACAAGCACACATTTTCATTTACAAGATTTCACAGGACACCAGAACTGGTATTCATAACTGAACATTTCTCATCTTTCTAAGACTCATTTTTATAACTAAAATCAGGTGTTGACATCAGTAAGCTGAAATCAATGGAATCCATCACTTAAGGGCTGCAACAGCTCTCCTTCAAGATAGAGATAAAGTGAATGCAGCTGATACATAATCTGCACAAAATGGCAGAATTAGTAATGCCCCTACTATGTTGTAGATGCTATTGTTAGAAGATGGGAGGTGGAGGAGGAGGGGAGGAGAATGGGAGCTTAAGGTTAGTTGAGGAGCTGAAAATAATGAGTACTGAGGTGGTCACTGAGGTAGAGAAGAGGTGTAATAGAGAAACAGAATAATGTGTTTAAAGGAGCTTTCCGACAGTATGTCTTAAAACTAACCACACAGGAGCCAGCTTAATTATCTTGCTTTTCTAGATTGGGCTACAGAGACATGGGGAGAGGAATGGACTCCTGAAGCACTGGCCACAGAACTAGAAACCAAACTGCAACTTACCCGAGTTTGCTCTAGCACATCCCCACCAGAAGTAAGAAGGAAACCTTCAGTGAAAGAAAGAGTTGGGGAAAGGGACTAGAAAATCACAATAGGTAAGACTGTAAAAAGACATGGAAAAAGCATGAAGTAAGTACGAAATGATGGGAAACGATGAAAAATGGGAGCAATAAGAAAGGAAGGATACGGAAAGCAGAAAATACATTAAAAGATTAAATAATTATATAGACAACACTAAGATTAGAAAAATATTTTTACCTTTTTTTTGTTATTTTTCATAACAGAAAAGAGAAATTAATTTAGATCTACTCTGAGCTATTTTAAAACGATTTTGGTTTGGAGATGATTGTTAGGCTTAAGTATTCTGACTGAATATATATCAGGATATGGATTATATAACATGCAGACTAAAAAAAGAAACAGCACTCAGTGGCACATACTGATTTCAGTAAAATAGTATGTGGGAAGGGCACATTTTTCAGGAAAGGCAATACCACAAAGGAGCTCAATCCCAATAAATGCCAATTAAAGATGTTACACAAGTGCCATGTAGACAGGTATTCCACATGAAGTAATTTTACATCATTCTATATTGAAGCTAATTAAACTATGAAGACTTGTTGTAAATACACATTCTATTATACATTTTAATGTTTTTATATTTAAGACACTTGGTAATTCATTAATCATGTTCTTAAAATGTTTTTGTCTATTTTAATATCTTATGAACCAACTCTGCTGTAACCTTCAGTTCTCAGATTTCCAGATTCCTATTCTACTACTGGAATGATATAATTTCTTCTAGTTCTGTTGAATGACCAGATGAATGACTGCAAACTCATCATTACTCTTGGATTCCTTGTTATTCAAGTCACTTCAGTGCACTTTCTCTATAGGCACAGTGCACTTTGGTGTGAGTTACCTTTTCAAACTGGTAAGAAAGCTGTAAGTGTTAAGCACCATGACTAGCTCAGACAGAATACTAAGAATGTCATTTGGACAGCTAATAGCGCTAAGGAAATGCAAGTATCTTATTACCCAACAGCCTATTACAGTTGTACCACTATGGGGATTTTTTAGGGAGTATGTATTTGTTTGCAAGTGTAGAGGTACACGTGTGACAGGTTTGCAGGCAGTCACAGATGATGTGAAGCTCCTAGGAAGCTGATCCATTAAGATGTCCTTGCACTGAGCAAGAGTAGCAGGAACAACTGCCCACACAATCTTTGTGTGTGTGTTGACTTGTAGCCTTCAGAATCTGTACTGTATTGCATATTTACTTATCTGTGAACATCACAAAAATATTCCCTGGGTTGTATGTGCTGAAAAAGCATAGAGAAAGAAAGACTATACCTACTTTGTAGAGCTTAACCTCTAAATGTAAAAGGCAGACGAAAGTTGGGATGGGAAACAGAGGAACTGGCAGAGCAGATTAGTGACACTGTCAGAGTATGCTGTGGTTTAACGCAGCAATTAAGCACTTTGCAGCTGCTCACTTGCACCCCTGCAGCAGGATGGGAGGAAGAACTGGAAGGGTAAAAGTGATAAAGCTCAAGGGTTGAGATAAAGACAGTTCAACAGGGAAAGCAAGAGCCGTGTACACGAGCAAAGAGAAACGAGGAATTAATTCACTGCTTTCCATGATCAGGCAGGTATTCAGCAACCTGGAGAACAGCAAAGCTCCACCACATGTAACAGTTACTTGGGAAGAGAAACACCATCACTCCAAAAGTCCCCACTTTTCCATCTTCTTCTCCCACCTTTTACTGCTGAACATGACACCAGATGGTCTGGGTCATATGGGATATCCCTTTGATCAGTCAGGGTCAGCTGTCTCAGCTGTGTCCCCTCCCAGCTTCTTGAGCACCCCCAAGTCTCCTCACTGTTGAGGCAGCGTGAGAAGCAGAAAAGGCCTTGAATCTGTGGCAAGCATTGCTCAGCAACAACTAAAACATCGCTGTGGGTTATCAACACTGTTTTCAGCACAAATTCCAAACATAGCCCCATACTAGCTACTATGAAGAAAATCAACTCCACCCCTGACAAAACCAGAACAGAGTAAAACTGAGATTACTTGAATCCCAATCCAGTAGTCTGTCACCTAAAACCTGAAGCTGTACTGCCCAACAGCAGGCACCAAAATAAGCTTTGTCACATCAGATTCTCCTGCTAGTTTTCAGAGTGAAACAGGCACACTCAGAGGGAGATTTGACCCCTCCAGTATGTGCACCACCCTCTCAAGGCAGCCATTACTCTCTGATGTGTAAAGAGGGAGCTATCTCCCAAGTCTGCCCTCGGGCATACCAGCTGGGCATACCTCAAGAGTAGTATGTCCTTAAAACCTGACCAGCCCTTACACAAAAACACAGAAAAGCACAGTTACAAACTTGGGAAGTATGGGTATGTTGATAATTAGCCAAGCAATAGTTTAACATACTCTTCACTCATTGTTACTTATGTTTTCTCACAACTGCTACAAACTGAAGGCAGGTAAAAGCTTCTAGCTCTTTCCTTTTTGGGGGTGTGTGCGTGTTGTGTGTGTGATTCTCCTCAGAATATATGTAGATTTTGGCTGGGTGATTTCTTTTCATCCATCCTGCTACTTAGAAACTCCATTAAATCACAAATACATTTCATGCATCCTTATGTATTGGTAGTAAAATGTTGTCTAATAAATTCGAATACAGTTGTGCCACCAGCATAAAAGAGAAGAAATTAACCATAATACCAGGAAATCCTACCTTCCTGTATCGATTTCAGTTCAGCAATACTTCACAACACAAAGGCCCACACACCCACAGACTCAGCACATGTCAGGGTAATTGATTTGGGCTCAAATATGAGGGTGCCCTCAAAAACCAGTAAATGGTTTTGTTCTCTTTCTCTTTTGTCCCTTAGAAAAACGAAGTCTCTCTCACTCTGGAAGATTTATTGAGCTCTTAAAGGAAGAATGGATGATTTATGCATGATAAGGTGGTTTTCCAAAGAATATGGTTCATTCATTCATGTCAACAGAAATCTAAGATAAAGTTACAGTGTTAAATTATGCATACTTTAGATATACATTGTGCGCTATGAAATGTGTGTTAAAGTAAAGGGACAAGTATTTTTTGTTCCGTGGGAACGGAAGTTGCACATCAATGTTTTTCCCAAAGATTTGGACATGTTTTGTCTGATATATCCACTGTATCTTTAGCTTTTCAAAATAAGTGGAATTCTTGTATCAGTTGATTTCTTAGCTTTATTATAGTACATAATGCAAATACTACTAGCACACAATTCATTACATCTCTGCCTAATTACACTTTGTAATTTTTCCCTGCAAGTATTTTACATGCAGAGCTGTACTGGCACATATGCTAATACATAACAAAAGACAACCATTACCTACATCCTTAGAGCCACATTGCAAATGTCTACAGTACTGCCTCTAGAGTTTTAGGTACTCATGGTAGCATTTAAACACCAGAGAGCAGGGAGCAATTCAAACCTGTTGCTGCCTTGGGCTGTGAACTCCTAAGTTCTTATGCAGTCAGAAGAGTGAAATAGCTACAACACCTACTCTCCTCTGACAGGTTGCACTCTCACACTGATGAACCAGAGCCACACCCTAAAACATAACAGGTGCTGTAGAGATGCTCTCACTGTGGTGACTTGTTAGCAATTGAATAGGAATTCTTAATGTAATGCATTTTCATGGAAATACTTCTATTAGTTTTGAGTTAAAGAGCTCATTTTTTCCACTTCAGTTAGGCAAGGTGCCAGGGGACGCTTCCAAGCAAAAGATGAAGGGTATACTATAAACTCATTTTAATTGCATTATGATACGCACCTTAGGCCACAAAATAAAAATTCAAAATAAAATTGCATTTGTCGTCAGATAGCTCTACAGGGAGATCAGAAGGACAAAGGCTACGTCCATTAACAAGCACCATGGTGCAAAATGGGGAGCGAAGTCCCTCCCACTGTAAGTGAAGAGCAGGTTTGAGACCACCTGATTAAACTGAATAGCCACAAGTCCATGGGGCCTGATGAGATGCTTCCCAGGGGCCTGAGGGAACTGGCTGATGTTGTTGCCAAGCCACTCTCCACCATATATGAAAAATCCTGGCAGTCAGGCGAAGTCCTCAGTGACTGAAAAGAGGGAAACACTGCTCCTATTTTTAAAAAGGGGAGAAAGGAAACTGGGTACACATTGGAGACCCTCATCCCTGTGGCTGGGAAGACTCTGGAGCAGATCCTCATGCAAGCAATGTTAAACACGTATGAGACAAAGAGTTGATCCAAGACAGCCAGCACAGCTTCACTAAGGGCAAATTGTTCCTGATCAATCTGGTGGCCTTCTGTGATGGAGTGATGGTTGACAAGGGAAGATTGTCATCTATCCAGACCTCTGTAAGGCCTTTGACCTGGTCCCACATGACATCATTATCTCCAAATTGGAGAGACATGGATTTGATTGATGGACTATTTGGTGGATAAGGAATTGGCTGAATGGATGGAGACAGAGAATTGTGGCTCTGTGTCCAGGTGGAGGCCAGTGAAGAGTGGTGTTCCTCAAGGCTCTGTCTTGGGACTGGTGCTCTTTAACTTATCAGCGACACAGAAAGTGGGATCAAGTGCACCCTCAGCAAGTTTGCAGACGACACGAAGCTGAGCAGTGCATTTGGCACAACAGATGGAAAGATGCCATCTAGGGGGACAAGCTTAAGAAGTGGGTCCATAGGAACCTCATGAAGTTCAAAAAGTACAAGTGCAAGGTGCTGCACCTGGGCTGGGGCAATCCTAGATATGAGTCCAGACTGGGAGAACAATCCACTGAGAGCAGCCCTGTGGAGGACTTGGGGGTTTCTGTGGATGAAAAACTGCACATGAGCCAACAGTGTGTGCTTGCAGCCCAGAAGACCAATGGGAGATAGTGATACGACAAGGGGGAAATGGTTATAAACTAAGATTAGCTCTTACAAGAAATTCTTTATTGTCAGGGTGGTGAGGCATAGGAACAAGTGGCCAAGAGATGACGTGGATGCCCCATCCCTGGAGGTGTTCAAGGATGGGGCTCTGAGCAACATGTTCTAATGGGTGGCGCAATTGCCCATGGCAAGGGTGTTGGAACTAGATGATCCTTAAGGTCCCTTCCAACTATTCTATATAGCATAAGGGCATATATATGCATAGGGGCATTTCCAGAGTGAAAGAGGTACCAGCAATGCCCTGGTAAACCACACTGTGCCTTACAGGGCGAAGGCTGTTTTGGACTAGCTCTAGTCTTGAAAGAACAAGGAAGTACTGAATGGCTGCACACATCAGCATTAATGAGACCTTAACTATAACTCACCCACTCTTCCAATGGAAGGGTTCTGGAATATGTAGTAAGAACTAATACAGTATAGAGATACTCAAAGGGCTGCAGAAGTTGGGCCAGGATTTCTTGAAGACTCCTGAATCATTGTGTGTACAGGATCATGCAAAGACTCTTCCAACCTTTTCATGGTCTCATGAAAAGTCTATTCAGAGCTGGCATGCAAACTTTTCCCTGTCACGAAATACCAAAACCATTTTGTGTCTTCTTTTGGCTGCTTGGTTGACTCAATGTTACCAGCTTTTCTTTCCTTCTGTCCTTTTTTTCCCCTCTCCATTTAACAGAATCCAACATTTCTTTAAGTAAATGATTGTATTTGGTATTTTTATCAGAATGATTTGCATCTGGAATTTGCAAAAATTAGCTCATACAGAAATGTGAGGCCAGTGAACTAAATCCTAGAGGGGTATGTACTAAACACTGACTAAATATCCAAGATTAAAAAAATTGCAGAAATCAGAGCACAGAGAAAAACAATGAAGATTTTAAAGTGCACCTGCTTTGCAAACAGAGTGCAAAAAAAATGGCTGCATGAGGTGAACACCAAGATCAAAGTTTTCCATCTGAAGTGATAAAATCTGGAATTTCCAGACTTGGAAACTACCTTTAGTCCAGTAGTTATGTGGAAGAGGGGAGCCTTCAAAATAATTTGTATTTTCTGTGACTATTGCAGTTACAGCCTGAAAGCCAAAGACTCAAAATGAGCAGCCAATTTCGATATTATGCTTAGGTTTCGTTACATCACTTACATCATGAGTTTAAATCATGATGTGTGTACACAAAGCTCCCATTTATGTCCATGATTTAGCAGTTACAGTTATTAAGGCATCGTTGCTATTATTTCAATTATTGTAATTAACATGGAAACTCTCTTATCTCCTTGTTCTGGCATGTATAAAATCCTCCATGCATTGAGTGGTCCCTGACTATTAAAAATAAAAAACCAAAACCAAAAAATCCCCAAACCTCTAAGAGTCGCAGTGCTTAATTTTCCCTTCTGCCAGTGATCCTTAAACTCAGCTTATTTAATGCTTCCTCAGCTTGTACTTGTCCCTGGAGGAAAGCCCCACTAAAAATAACTGTTTGTAAATCTAGCGACAGATGTGAGGAATTTATCTCCTTACCACGGCAGGACACGCCTCGCCTATCCTCCAGACCGAGGATTAGCTGGCAGGCAGGAGGGACAGACATCGGGCTACGATGTTTCCTCACTGCCTCCCTGCAGGGTTTCGGCCGAGACAAAGGAGGAGAAGCAGGGAAAGAAAGCAGGTGCTGTGGGACGAGCGGGACACGGCCCCGCACCGGGATGATTCCCCCGGGGCAGGAGCGGGCACGGGGCGCGCGCCGGAGCGCGGGGGTGCCTCCCGTCCCTCCCCGCCCGTCACCCGCCGCGGCCGCACACACACAACGGCACCGCCCCCGCCACGCTCGGCGCGCGCCCTGGCCGGAAGCAGCACCCTC